TTGGAATAATAGTTCAGGGCTAGGCTATGAAGGTCTTCAAAAATCTAAAGAGAAGGTTTTTATCCGAAATCAATAGAGTCACTGGAATTTATTGAGTAGGGGAGTGATATTTTAAGAAAATCACTTGAGTAGCTGTGATGGATTGGAGAGGGGATCAGCTTGAGAGAAGGAGACCAGTTAGGAAGCTTTTGCAGTTGTCCAGGTGAAACAAGATGGCAACCTACAACAGGTATGTATCTGTGTGAATAGAGAGGAGGGGAGCTGTTCCAAGAGTTGCAGAACTGGATGGATACATAGGGTGAAGGCCAATGTGGCATCAAGGATAATGCCAATGTTGCTAACTTGAGTGACTGGAAGGATGGTTTCTCTAGGGAAATAGAAAATTGGAAAGGGAGAAGGGTTTGGAAGGAAAGATTATGTTTAGTTTAGGATAATGTTGAATTTGATTTATCTATGGGAAATCAAGTTTGAAACATCCAATGGGCAGTAGGTGCTGTGAGACCAAAGTTCAGGAGAGAGATTAGATATAGCTCTGGGAGTTAATTAGTTTTTATTTATTTAATTAAATTAATTAATTTAATTAATTGAACTCATGGGAACTAGTGTGGTTGGTGAGTGAATGTAGGGAGACTAGAACAGGGTTCAGGGTAAAATTTTGGGATATCTACATGTTTAAGGGAAATGCTATGGAAGGAGACTGAGAAGGAATGGTCAGATAGGCAGAAAGACGGGATGATGTCATGGAAACCCAGAGAGGAGAGAGTATCCATAAATTCTATGTATAACATTTCAAGTAATTCACATAAACTTGATTTGGGGGCCAGGACTGGGGGAGAATACTTGGAATCCCTGATGTTGGGGAGGATAAGGCTGGTTGACCTCTTGTGTGTCTTCACTAAGCCTGGCACCAATATGGTGAGCTCCTGGAAGTGTAAGGCCACTGGACTGCCCAAAGAGGGGCCAACTGGCCAGAATTTTTCAAAATGGAGCAGGTCAAAGCTTTCATGCTGGTCCCTACTGGGTTCAGGCTGCTGAGGGACTGCTATACTTCCAGCATGGGTGAGATTGGTCTTAAAACAAACAAAAATCTATTGATATCAATACTCCTAAACCCCAAATCTGACCATGTCCCCACTGGCCTATACCATTTCTCCTTCCCTTCAATAATTTTCAGTAGACCTCGAATATTTCTAGGATAAAATGCAAAATCCTTTGCCTGCCTGGTATTTAAAAACTTCACTACAGCCTACCTTTACACATATTTCACATTCTAGCCAAATTGTCCTTCTAGCTGTTCTCCAAACGTATATGTATATTTATGTATATATATGTATATATACATATATATATATATATATATTTTTTTTTTTGCAAAGCCTGTTCCCCCATGTCTGGAATGTGCCTTTAAGAATCTCTAGTAACTAACTCCCTTTAAAGCCTAGCTTGTCTGCCACTGCCTTTGCAAGGTCAATTCCTAACACCTCTATTTGTTATTTCAAATTTTTTTATTCCTCTGTATACATTGTATCTCTCTTCTTCTTATCTCTTCCCTCTTTGTAGAACATAAGCTCCTTGAGGGCAGGTACTATTTAATTTTCTTCTTTGTTCCCTGAAGACTTATCATACAGTACCATGCACACAGTAGGTGCTTTATGAAAGTATGTTATGTTGAAACGAGTTGAATAAACTCTTGGGTTTTAGTTTCACATCTGTGGGGGTGGAACTAGAAACTCTGCACTTCCTGTACAGCTAAAACTTGAGTCCAGTTCAGTCATTCAATTCCATCCAATAAATACTTTTCCACACTTACTTTGTGCAAGGTGGTGTGAAGAGGGAGAGGCAGCTCAGGATAGGAGATAGAGAGCCAGTCTTAGACCTGGGTTTAAATTCTATCTCTGCCATATATAGGCTGTGTGACCCTGGACAAGTCATTTCACCTTATATTCTCCCCCTCTTCTTAACTCCTCTCCCCCACTCTTTAAGACTAAAAAATAAAGTATAAGTGCCATTCTGCAATGGTACAGGGAGTTTCCTCATTGGAAATTCCACACATCAGTGAAATCACAGGTTCAAAACAACAGACACAAGATATTATTCTAGGCACTGGAAACACAAAGGCAAAAAAACCCTAACCCGGACTTAGTAACTTGTTTTTATGTATCATGATCCTCTTTGGCAGTCTGACGAAGCCTATGGACTTTTTCTCAGAAGAATGATTTTAAATGCATAAAATAAAACAGAGGATTATGTTAAAAACCATTTATATTGAAAGTTAGCAATATATATGCACAGTATTTATACACATACATACAATATATGTATCATGTGTGTATATACACATACATATATGTACATGTGTATATATGGAGAGAGAGAGAGAGAGAGAAAGAGAGAGAGAGAGTTATGACCACAGGTTAAAAACCCCTGCCCTAAATAGTTCCTGCCCTCAAGGAACTTTCATTCTAAGAATGAAACTAAACATGATGCAATGGACCTTTAGTTTTGTTTCTGACCACTTTGAATTAACCACTTTTCCTGAGGTAACTCATATCCTCCTTGAATTTGCTCTCTGGATCTCCAAATTCTCTTTTGTTGTTCAGGACTGGTTCAGGGTTATCTCAGAATCCAATAGCTGCTTTTGTGTGTATGTTGTGAAGGGGGTGGGGGTGGGGGTGGGGGAGGAGGATAATGCCACTGTCACATTCTAGGGGAATAGCTGAGTAGTTGAGCTGGTTCTATGCTTCCCCTGGATTTTCTAAAATTAATCCACTCCCAGCTATCCTTCAGAACTTTAGGATTGGCTGAATCTGAAGACAGTATCTCCCACAGTGATTTGGGGATAGAGTAGTGTTCCCAGGCCTGGACCATTTCCTGAAGGGGCTCCAGAATGCAGAGGGGGCTGCAACCTGCTGAGAAGTCAGTCCAAGGGCAACTACTCTGTGAAAAATGAAATTCGGTATCCTGAAGCTTATGGCCAGATTGGGGCCAGAAACTAGTTGGAAGGCAAAAAATGGTTTAACAGCAGAGATACATGTCTGAAAGCTCATAATACAATGATGAGTTAATACTCTCTAGCTTAGAGATACTAGACACTCATTTGCTGGCAGCCTTTCATGAAAGGCTGTAATGTTTTTTCTTTAAAAAAAAAAAGAACGAAAAGAAACATCCCTCCTCAAAACTATGGTACCATACTTTTAACAAAATGGAGTTGAGAATTATTAGACTGAGAAACTAAAGAATTATAACACTTTAATTTATAGCACTGGCTGAGTGGTGGCGAGGGAGGCTTTGGAGCTACAGATGTGGAGATAGCACCTCCCTCTTACTCATTCTGGAGTCCTGTCACAGCTTACTAATTTTTCTCTCCACTTCCCGTCTCTCTCCCTTACAATCCATCCTCCACATAGCTGCCCAAAAAAGTTTCCTAAAGTCTGAAAATGTCACCCAATTGCTCAGGATCACACCTTAGCTTGTCATTTAAAGCCCTCACAAACTGGCTCTAGTTTTCCCAAGTTTATTTCAAATTACTTCATTTACTGACCCACTTAATGTTCCCAGAACTCAGTACATATCTTGCCTCTTGACCTTTGCAGGACAGTGTCTGGTGTTTGGAGTGAACTTCCTTCTCAACTTGTTTCTCAAGAATTCTTGTGAAAGGGTGGGGTGTTTAACCACTTAAATGAAGAGATAACATAAGACAACATTAACTTAAGGAGGGCAGAACAAGCCTTAATCAACTACTCAGAGATTTTAGAGGAAGTATGAAAAAAACTTCCTAGAGTGATCTGCCAGCAAGAGCATTCAAATTGGCTGAAGAAACTGAGTCATACCCTGGGGGGGTCTTTTATAAAATGGCAGCCCCGTGTAAAACCAGGAAATGAAGATTCAGAAACAAAAGGGAAGTGAGATCTCTCCTCCCATCTCTTGCCTGGGAAATGGCAAATCTCAGAGTCCCGAGACCTCTGGATCACAGCCTCATGATGGGCCCTGGTCCCATATTTTGTCACCCAAGAAGGAAAGAACAAACATGCAGAAGCAAAGGAACAGTTGCCATGTTGCTGTGGCTAGATTGGGGGGGAGTGGGGAGATCAAGGCTCAAGCCCTCCCTCACCACGTGGCATCTTCCCCACTCCAACGAAGCCTCAGGAAAGATGGCCCAAACTATCCTGCCGTTGGTGCCTTTTGTAAGCATCTCAGTTCTGGCTCCTGAGTCAATCCAAAGGCTCCTCCTCTTCGTATGGTAAGCAGACCTGAAACAATACTTGCCATACTCTGAGCTCCACATGGGGATTGCATCAGCAGAGCACACTGCATATGCTCCTAAGGAAGGGCTCATTGGCCAGTCCCTCCCAGTACACTACCTTCCTTCCAGGCTCCACTCAGGTGCTACTTAATAGCAATAATGATAATTACCATTGATATAGCTCTTTAAGGCTTGCAAAACACTTTGCATAGGTTGTCTCAGTTAATGTTCACAACTACCCTAATATTATTATCCCCATTTTGCAGATGAGGAAACTGAGGCAGACAAGTGATGTAAATTTCTTAGGCTGGATTTGACCACAGCTCTTCCTATTCCCAAATTAAGATCTCTACCCTCTAGGCTACCCAGTTATTTCCTGATGTGTTCCTCATTAAAATCCCTCTGTAAATCCTCTGGATTCCTGAAATCTCAATCCTCTGACTAAACCCATAGGATCAATGATCTTGCGGTCTTTCATATACCTCTTTCTTTACTGGCTATATTGCCAAGAGGTTTCTTGAGGACAAGGTCTCTTTTCCATTTTGTTTTTGTATCCCTGGTATACAGCACCATATCTTGCACAAAGTAGGTCCTCAAGAAACGCTTGTTGGCTTGGATTGGCTCCTTAGCCCATAGGTGCTAAAAGTTTGGGCTCCAAGGCTAGGGCAGAAGGAAAGTGGAGTAGTTTATTTCTGCTTGCCAAACCACTTCTGCAAAATCTTAAGTGTTTCTAGTCATGTGCCTTGAGTACTGATTGGGCAATCTGGCCCCACATCTGGAGAGTCCTAGAGGCATCTTTGCATGGATCAGCGTACGCTTTTCAAAAAAGGTATCGACGGCAATTTTTGTTACTTTCATGGTTTTAATATTAACTTTAGTAGGTGTGACTTTGGACAAATCATTTAAACTCTCAGTGCTTTGATCATTTACCCTCTCTAAGATTGTAAGGTATGAAGAAGGTGGTGACTTTCATTGGCATGGGAGGTTTTCTCTTCAGGAGTTCCCTCTACTGATAACAGAATAGGTTCTGCCCCAATCCTGCTCCCTCTTCCTTTCTTATTAACTTTTTTTTAAAACCAGCACATTTTGGGGTCTGTTTTTAATTATTGAATTTAATCCATTTTATGGATCCATTGAAGTATATATTGGTTTCTAAGTCACAATTAAGCTTTTCTACTTGTTGTGATAAATTACTGATTCTAAATTTGCAAATGGGCAAGTTTCCCAGAAATGGGTTATTGCTACATACGTCAGTATATAACATCTGGCTTTTTTGGTGGGGTCTGGATGACATTCATTTTATCATGAAAAGGAGAAGAAATAGGAGATGACCATGTTATTGCACCAGCCCTTGTTATCTTAGCAGTACAGCTAGCTCCCACTTGGAAAAGAGAGACCCTCGGGCATGTTCCCTGGACGCTTGTTTCAGATTTCAACTCTGTGTCAACGTTAAAGCCACAGTTATATCCAATTTCTGATCTCAGGCGAGTCAAGAGTTGCAGTGCTTTAGACTTGGTCCTCATTTGCTTTTATTTATCTTCAATCATGAACTTGAGTAAGATAAAGACCAATGATGAGAACCCTCAACATTCTCTGCTAGCAGAAATTCTGCTTTAGAGTCACTCAGGATTAGAGGATCGTAGAATTATTGATTGAGAGCTGGAAGGGACCTTACAGGCCATCCAGTGCAACCCCTTCATTTTATACATGAGGAAACTGAGGTCCAGGGAAGTAAAGGGGCTTACCCAACGTCACACCTATGGAAGGTATGCTGATAATTGTGTAACAGCTAGCTCTCCGAAAAAAAAAATGTACCCATGATAAATTCTTACATTTAATTTGCATTATTAATATTTTCACATTACTTTCTTAAGTCTAGGCAATCAACAAAACAATAAATCAAGCCCTTATTTGCATAGTTATCAGCTTCAGAGCCGGCTGCAGCACAACCTGTGGACAGCTCCTCAGGTGCAGAGGCTCCCTTTGGACCTAAGAGCTCTGATTCTAGGGCCAGTCCTTTTTCCATAGTAGCTCACCGATGACCATCTGTATGGAGGAGGGATAAAAGCCAGCGGCTAAAGTGATTCTGGTCACATGAAACCCCCAAATGCTAAAATATCAATGGAAACTTGGAGAATCGCCCTCACACAATGAGCACCACCAATGTCCCATTTCAGAGGGAATACAAGACCATGGGAAAACTGTGGTCTCTGATCTTGAAGAGGACTCTGACGGCTCAAGGACGCAGATGCTACGCCACTGACATGCCCTGCTCTCTCTACTATGTATATTTGTGTACCATGAACCTATGCTTTTTACATATGTGATATGTATTATATATAATGCAATGTAATTCTATAGATTATATAATATAGCACTTATATAGCATGTTGAGGTTTGAGAAATGCTTTACAATATCATCACCTAACAACAATCTTGGGAGGTAGACACTATTATTATCCCTGTTTTACAGATGACAAAACTAAGGCAGATGGACATTAAGTGACTTGTCCAGAATCATGAAGATAGTAACTCTCTGAAGCTGGATTTGAACTCAGGTTTTCTTAATTCTAGGTTCAGCACTCAATCCACTGTGCTGTCTCTCTCTCTCTCTCTCTCTGTCTCTCACACACACACACACACCCACACACACACAAATATACACATATATACATACACACATAGACAAACATGTATATGTATATGTGCATATATAAATGTGTATATGTACGTATATACATAATATACATGTGTATGTATGTATACATCACCTTTGATCTATCTGCCACATATACGCATATATACATGTATTATATTATTGTATCTATATTTTGTTTACATATTGTTTCTCCCATTATAATATGAGATCCTTGAGAGCAGGGGGTGTGTTTCTGTTTGGTTTTGGTTTTGCCCTTCTTTATAGTCCCCAGAGTTTAGCACAATGCATGGCAAACATTGGGCGTGTTGGGATCTGTGTGCTCAGGGTGCCCTTCTATATACATACATGCATGCACATCTATCTATTTATCTATCGATCTATCTGTCTGTCTGTCTGTCTGTCTCTTTTTTGGTCTCTCTCTCTCATCTTTTTTATACTATGGACTCCTAGAGGGAAAGAAGACCACCTGTCATTGAATTGTAGAACATTAGATTTTGAACTCACCTTAGAGATGGTCTAGTGAAGAGAGTAGAGGCAGAACTTCCCCCCCACCCCATGTAGTGCAATCCCCTCATTTTACAGAGAGGGAAAAGGAGGTCCAGAATAGTTGAATGATTTTCCCAAGGTCACGTGGTAAGTTACTAACCAGCCAGGTTGATACATGAATTCAGGTATCTTGATTTCTCTTCCACTTTGTGCCATGGCTCATGTCCTTACAATGTAACTTCCCAATAGACCACCCTTGTCATTTAATGATGATGATGTAATGGCAGTCTTCTCTACAAGACTGAGCCCTGCCTTTGGGCTCAAGTGCGACTTTCTAGAAACCTGTACTTTGAAGGCTGATTCTTTCCTAGACTGAATCTGTGGTTTCACTGATATAGGGAACGCCTGGTTAAGGGAGCTCCTTCTACCAATACACATGGGCAATTGTCTGCAATGGACTGTCTTGGAGAGATGCCGAGGGTGCTGAATTCCTCAGAGTCACAAAGCCAGCATGTGTCAGAAGTGGAACTTGAACCCTGGACCCTCTGACTTGTAGGCCAGTTTTCTATGGACCATGTGGTTGCCATTCTGGGTGAGTGTTAACCACTTGCAATCACACACTTAAGACTGATGATGACTGTCAGTAGTCACTGGTGAAATTGCCTCCTAATTAGCTTCTTCATTAGCTTTCCTAATTTACATCTTAATTACCCTTAATGGAGCATAATAACGAATCCCAACATTTGGCTCTCTGTTACCATAGCATAGAAAGGATAGAAGGCCTGTAAGACTAAATGTGGTGCCAATCTAATGAGGGAGCCTGGCAGGGGAGCCAGTAGGAAATTTTGTTTCTGGCAGTAAAAGAGGAGACATAGGTCCTGACATTTAGTTTCCCATCCATCTCAAGAATGATCTTTTCTCCTTTTCTCCTTTGATCAAGATAGCCCAAGGTACAAGGCCATAAGTCTAGTCAGCTGGCTTGAAATGCCCAAAACAGAAAGCTACTGCCCTTATTAAAAACTGTTCAGATCACACCAACCTAGAATGTTAGAGCCAGACAGCACTTTAGATATTATTTAACTTAATTTTATTATTTTAAGGATCAAGGTGGGGATAAGAAGTAAAATTCTACAGTGAGTTAGTGGCAATATCCAGAAAGTCTTCCCACCTTCAGTGCAAAGAAACAAATAAAATAAACATTTTAAAATCAAGAGGGTCTGAGTTTGAATCCTGCCTCAGACTTTTACTAGCTTTGTGACCCTGGGCAAGCCACTTCACCTTTATCCACCTCAGTTTGCTCATCTGTAAAATGAGGACAATAAAAGCACCTACCTCACATGTCTGTTGTGAAAATCAAAAGAGTGAACATATATAAGGCACTTTACAAATCTTAAGGACTATATAAATGCTAGCTATCATTAAATGCCTACTTTATAAAGGACACTATACTAGGTAGTATGAGAAATACAAAGGTAAGCCATCCTCCCTGTTTTCAAGGAGCTGACTAGTCCAACAGGATGATGATGCCAAGAATGATAGCTATAATACAAGAGATTACATTAGAAGGCTTAAAAACCGTAAGACAAAGTGTCAGGTAAGGTCTGAGGGGGATGGTCAATGCTAAGTCCTGCAGAAAGTCACAGATAAGGTCCAGATTACAAACATGGGAGACCAGGTGGGGCGTGGTCAGAAGTAATATAGAAAAAATGCAGAAGTAGAAAAGGTGTTTCAGGGTGCTTTATTTGGCCTCATGCCTGGGGTTAAAGCAAATATCTGGGTTCAGGATTTTGAGAAAATTGGTACTCTGGAAATGATACAATCACGAGCTCTATCATTATGTAATGCAACAAGCAGACAAACCAAGCCTATATACACTGATATAAAAAGACAGATTTGTCCTCACACATGCAAGAAACTTACCTCAACTTGAAGGAGAAGGAGACGAGATGGGGAAGGAACATGCTCAAATTTGGGGTTCAGGTGGCAATATTATGTACTCCAACACTGGGCTTGGTTGAGAACAGATAATTGGTGCCAGATATAAGAGGGGGCATTTCTAATCAGAGCCAGATGTGGTGGAAAAGTTCTTGAGGGGTTCCTTATTGATATACCAGGCTTGGGTGAAGTGAGGGGAGGTTTCTTTATCAGGACCACAAAGTGGTGGGAAGATCTAACTAAGGCAACAGAAGGAAGAGGACTCCAGGCCCCTGCAGCAGGTCAAGAATTCATCCAAGCCAAAAGCTGCAAGCCTTGGTTGCCTGACATAGAGTTAACAGTGGGAAACTGTCTGTTTGTCCTCTGTGCTTCTAGGGACATTAGGAACACTTAGCCTAAGTGACTCCACATTGGAGTCCTATCATTATAAACATACTATCAAGCGATATCCATGACAAACCATAACATTGAACAATAATCATAACTTCAAAAATAAAAAGTTTACAATTATCACAAGGGGGAAAGTGATTCACAAAATGGCCAAGTTGAGACTGAAACCCAGATCTTCTGACTCCCAGTCGGGGGTCTCTTCTACTATATATACCCCAATCACTTCTCCCAAATGTAAGTCATCATTGATATTTTTCTCCATTTCAGACTCTCCTGATCCATTCAGTGGGACAAGAATGTTCATTCAATCAACCAGCATTTATTAAGCTCCTTGTATGTGTTGGTGCTGTCCTAGGGACTTTGTGTACAGAGACAAAATGAAAGGTGGTCACTCTCATTCAATCAATGAATCAGTCAATAAGCATCTATTAAGTGCTTACTATGGGATAGGCACCATACTAAGCACCAAGGATTGAAAAAAAGAATAAAAACCAGCCCCTGCCCTCAAGGAGCTTACTTTCTAATGGGGGAAACAATGTACAATTAAGTAGGTCCATAGAAAATACATTCAGAGTAGATACAAGGTAACCTTAGAGGTGAAGGTACTAGCAGTTGGGAAGCCTGTGTAAGGCCTCCTTCAAAAGGGGGCATTTGAGTAGTAGAGTTTTGAAGGAAGACTGGGATAACTAGAAAGATGATGGTGCCCTCACCAGTAAGAGGAAAGTTCAGGAGAGGTGTAGGATTGAGGGTGGAAGGGAAGGAGAATGAGTTCACTTTTGGATATGTTGAGTTTGAGATACCTATGGGGCATCTAGTTTGAAATGCCCAATAGGCAATTGGTGATGTGAGACTGGAGCTCAGAAGAGAGACTCCAGCTTGAGATAGCTAAGTGGTTCAGTGAATAACATGTTGGACCTAGAGTAAAGAAGACCTGAGTTCAAATCCATCCTCATATACTTAATAGCTGTGTGACCCTGGGCAAGTCTTAGTTTCTTAACTTAACTTAGTTTCCCCATATGTAGAATGAGGATAATAATAGCACTTATCTCTCAATTGCTGTGAAGATAAAATATTTGTAGAGTACCTTGCAAACCTCCAAGTACTATTATTGTCATCATTATTATATAAACTATAAGTCTGAGAATTCTTAAGAGCTTACATTCTGATTGCTGTTATAACCTTTATGCTGATGTAAACATCAAATAATTTGAAGAGGAGGTAGCCCTAACTACAGAAATCAGGAAAGTCTTCACAAAGTAGGTATAGCCAAAATGATTCTTGAAGCCAAGGATTCTAGCAGGTGAGGATGAAGTGGGGCTGCATTCTGAGTGTAACACTAGGCACCACTGTGGAACAGGAGAGTGCTTTCTGTACTTTCCCTTCTCATCCCAGCTTAGTCACTGCTCCTGAGCACATGCTCCTGTGGCTCATTCTTTCAGGGGAAACCTAAGGGAGCCCCGAGTTCAAATGTTTTGCTTTGGAGTATTATCGGATCATTCATAAAAAATAAGCTGTGAGCTCTTTCTGTGGTGGCAAAAAATTGGAAATTGAAGGGATATGTATCAATTGAGGAATGGTTGAACAAGTTGTGGTATATGACTGTGATGGAATACTATTGTATTCTATATAAGAAGGGACAAGCAGGATGGTTTCAGAAAAAGCTGGGAAGACTTACATGAATTGATGCAAAGTGAAGTGAGCAGAACCAGGAGAACATTGTACACAGTAACAGCAATATTGTAATGATGATCAATTGTGAAAGAAGTAGCCCTTCTGGGCAGTACAACGATCCAAGACAATTACAAATGACTTAAGAAGAAAAATACTAGTCACCTCCAGAGAAAGAACTGATGGAGTCTGAGTTATAATTTCAAAACTCTATTACTCTTTTTTTTGTCCGTGCTCTCTTTTGCAACATGGTTAATATGGAAATATGTTTTGTCTGACTGCACACGTATAATCTATATCAAACTGCTTGCCTTCTTAAGGAGGGAGGGAAGTTTTGGAACTCAAAAATCACATAAAAATGTTAAAATTGTTTTTACACATAATTGAGAAAGAAAGAAAAAATTCTTAAAAAAAAGAAAACCCAATAAACTGTGAATCGATAGTCCCTAGGGAGCTTTTTTTTTTTTTTTTTGGCTAGGCAATGGGGTTAAGTGACTTGCACAGGGTCACACAGCTAGTGAGCGTTATGTGTCTGAGGCTGGACTCAGGTCCTCCTGACTCCAGGGCCAGTGCTCTATCCACTAAGCCACCTAGCTGCCCCCCGGGGGGGGGTCTTAACCTCACATACTAGAATTGTGGGGACTTAGTGTAGATAATTTGTGCAATACAAAACCCCTCATGACTGACCCTCCACGTACTCTCTGATCTCAAGTCATGGCAAGCTCACAGGCAATGGAAACAAACTAATATATAAAAAGAGAATTAGATTTATAAAATACCACCATCAGTAGTACAACAAAGGAGTACATGGTTTGTTTTTTTTTTCCTAGATGGAGGCAGAGGACAGAAGAGAAAGCTGCTTCTTGGCCATTGAAGCTGAGGGGTAGGGGAGAATCCCCTACTAGTGAGCTCCTTCCTCCAATCTGAATGCTGCAGTCCCATTTGCCTCCTGTGGATGATGATTCTGGCTGCTTCAAGGGGTGTATACCTCGTTTTCTACTTCATTGAACAGTCTCTGCCCTATTTCTTAGACTCCCCTCCCTTCCATGAGGCTTCCTGGCTAGAGATTCCTTCTCTTTCTCTTTTCACTTGCCCTGCCCAGGTAAGATCTCATCCCCTCTCCATCAAATTACAGGCAGCTGCTTTTCCCCATGGAGCTAACTCTTTGGTCTCTCAAAGCTTGTAAGTGGGGCTACACAACCCCGGGGGAGACAAAGTGTGAAGGCAAGGGATGGAATGTTGAGTTTGGGAAACAGAAGGTAGGCTGATTTGTCTAGAGAGGTCAGAGAAATGAAGGTTTCTCTGGACTCACAGGCTCTGGGAGATAATAATATTAACACTGAACTCACACAACACCTTTTTCTTTTTGAAGAATTCAGAGAACTATTGATTTTTGAGCCTCATTTTCTGTTCCCTACACTGGAGACTGGGGAAAATTTTTGTCATAAAAATATTATATGGATTCAGAGTTGGAAGGTAACCTGAGAGATCATTTATTTTAATCCCTCCATTTTGCAAAGGAGGAAGCTGAAAACAATGAAGTGACTTCCACAGGCAGTAAGTGATAGAGCCAAGATTCGAATACAGGTCCTCTGAAGACACCATGATACCATGCTTTCCATTGTATCAAACTGCCTCATTTTAGAGTTATGCAGCTGTGAGTGATGAAGACTTTGTGTTTCCCTTGCAGCTCTTCTAGGCACACCATCATCTCTCTGTCTCTATTTCTGCTCTCTCTTTCTCTGTGTCTGACTCTGCTTTAGTGCTACTACAGATCAGAATCCCTGAACTGGTGTGATTCACCAACTTCAACCTTAGATTACAACTATGCGCCAACGTGCTCAGCCATTCCCTGTATATTTCATTAGTACTATCATTGGTCTTCCTGTTTCTAGTCTCTCCTCATTCCAGCCCATTCTTCAGAGTGGGGTAAGATTAATCTTCCTGTAATATGTTTTGCTAACAGCTGTCCACTGTTTAACAACATTCAGTGTATTAAGTCCAAAATTCTTAACCTCTCATTTGAGGCTTATCCAATCTCTCCAACATCGTGACTTGCTACTCCCCTACATCAATCAATCAATCAATATTTATCAAGTGCCTACTATGTGTCAGGCACTGTGCCAAGTTCTGAGGATACAAAGAAAAGTTCAGACATGCTGGTTGACTCATTCTCCAGATACATTTCTGGTCGTCATTCACGTAGTTTTTCTTGTCTAGAATATCCTCCACCATCCTTTTCAGTTATCTCCCATCCTTCAAAGCCCAACTCACATACTTCCTCCTCTAGGAAATTTTAACTGACAACTCCAGGTCATGTGATCTGTTTGATCTGTTTTCATCCTCTGACCTCCTATGGAAGGTCTTTGACACTTAACAGGTACTACCTCGTACACCTCACTCTCACTTCAACTTTCTGTGGATTCCAATTTGTCTTGTTGCCGCATTACCACCCTGAAAAATCTCTGTCCATGGGTTACTCCTGCCTTGAGGTCATTGTTTTGGGAAGGACTTTAGCCATGCTTCACCTCACTCTCCCCTTTACTCTCCTTCTCCTCGTCTATACCATATTGTCTTCAGGTGGGTATCTTTCTTTTCCTCACCGTCTTTCCAGCACTCAAATGTATTATCTTTTCCCATTAGAATGTAAGTTCCTTGAGGGTAGGGGCTGCCTTGATTACTTATATTTTTATCCCCAGAATTTAGCAAAGTTCTTGGCACACATGGTGAGTACTTAATGAATACTCTATCTGTCTGTCTGTCTATCTAATCTGTCTAACATCTATGTATCATCTACCTATCTATCATGTATCAATGTGTACTCTGTCTATCTATCTATCATCTATTTATCTGTCTGTCTGTCTAATCAAACATCTATGTATCATCTACCTATGTATCTATCATCTCTCTGTCAATGTGTCCTCTATCTATCTATCTATCTATCTATCTATCTATCTATCTATCTATCTATC